ATCAGGACTGATTGTTACATCTGATCTGCAGAAACTGATAAGATATTATGTAGACATTTATTAGACATGTATTACAATTCTTTTTTTGTTTTTATGAATTAGGATTTAGTTTTAATGACAGGAGAAATGTTTAACTGCAACACTTGGTCAGTTGTCCCTGCAGACACCAGAGATCAGAGCCACTGAGTCAGACTGTATCTGAAGGTAAGCACTGCTCTTTAACTCAGCTGAGCTACATGTCATGAGTCTAGAACATCTCAGATTATCTTATTTCCAAGTTTGGCTAAAAAGGCTAAAACTCCATAATCTGTAAACTCTGGCCTGAACTGGTCTCTGATCAAAAGCTTTTATTTCTCTAATGATTTGTTGTTTTCAGCATGTTTCACTCTGTAAAACTCTGTATTTTCTTCTTGTTGGTGGGTTTACAGTCGGCCCCCTCCMCTCGTCCTCTCCTGTATTAAAACTCGCGGTGCATAAAGACGTGCGTGCCCTGCAGCCGACAGCACGGCTCCCTGCTGTGCGTCAGCCAGCTGCACATTGTTGAAGATTTATTTGAAAGTGATTTTTTGTGACGACAGCAGGTGTGTGCTGAGGTGCAGCTCAGAGACGGACAATAACCGAAGCAATCAGACAGCTTCCTCCTAAACCCTGCAGCAAACAGACAGAGAGGCCGTGCACGTGGACGTGTGTGTCGATTGTGTGTTTGTGCTGTGGGATTATCACACTCTGGCAGCGGGTGGTCTAATACGCCCATCTGTCAATCATTCTTACACAGGCTTACAGCTGTCAGGAGAAAAGAAACACATATTTCTGCAGCCAGCCTGACTTATCGGAGGCTTCTGTTTCCTTGTTTCAGAGCTGAAATCAGGAGGAAACAAACTTCTTCAGGAGCTCATTTAGAAAATGTTGCACATCATCATTAATGATTTCATTGTTTCAGCTGCACAGATTAGCTCTCATTGTCTCCACTAACAATGAAGAAGTCATTGCTTCACGTCTGCACAAGTTACTGCTCATTGTGAAACTAGAAACATTTCATTTGACAAAGTTTAMTCATAAATTCAGAAAAACCTCCTGATGGAGGCTGAGCTTCATGATGAACTCCAGTTCTTTGTCCTGTCATGGACTTTAACCTTCAACCTGCTCACAGTTTGTCCTGGAGGACAGGCAGCTGTCTCCAGCTGCTGATGGTTTTACCTGCAGCTCCAGAGCAGCAGGTAAACACCTCATCACACACTGAACCTCTGAAGCTGGACTCACTTTCTGCCCTCTGGTTAATGTTAGTTATGGGATTTGGACTGAAAAGATGGATTGCAAACAGTAACTAAGCCAGACCACCAGGGGGACATGACCACTGSCTCATTTGGGACCAGATGAACTCTTTATAAACAACAATTAGCTGAAGGGAAAARCATTTGGAGGCAATCGATCTTTTCTGTGTTCCATGCATAATGTCTGTTAATTTGACAGGTAAAAGAATTGTACTTGTAAATTTGATTCATACTTGTAATGTGGCAAAGTTGTAACAAATTTATGTACGTTTATAGACTTACATGTACAAATTTAGACTCTTACACATACAATAATTCTGACAGTTATCCCATACATTTTGTTTAGTAAAAAGAGAAAGTGTGGTATTTCAGGTTGTATTTACTGTAGATAAAGTATATTAAATAATAACTTTAATAATGTTCYCGTGTGTTACTGCAGAGAACTGTGAGTTTGTGTCTGAAAGGCAAATGTAGGTCAGAGTGTCCCCTGTCCTGTGCATGAGGAACATGAGATGTAAATTTCAGTCAGTGCCCTGTGAGAAGCCTCTCCTTCTCCTGGAATAATCACAGTGTGGCCTACTTCCTGGCTCTGTGCGAGCAGGAGCTCATTTAGAGGTGAAGCCAACAGGTGAGATAACTCAGCTCACCTGCAGTTAGATCAGACCTCTGAGGGGCGGGACCAATCACAACGAGCTGCAACACACAGAGCTGATCATGTGTTTCACCTGAACTAACTCTGCTGACAGGAAGCTTCTCCACCTGCTGACTGTTTCACTGAGACACATCAGGGCCGACACACAACTGGAACACAACTGTTTGACTCGACAACATCTGCAGTTTGAACACAAACTGATCTCAGCAGGACTTTCACTCAGTTTATCCTGAGGTTGGATTTATTTATGATAAATCAGTTCTCTTAGGTCCAACACAGCTCTGATATTCTGCTGGGACCTCTGAGGTGGTTAGGTTAACCCCCCCCCCCCCCCMCACACACACACTGCTCCTCCCCTTAAGCATTTTTGTGAAGACCTGCTGAAGTGGGAGTGTCAGAAATGGTATTAGGTTCAGAGACAGAGGCCAGGTTCAACCTTTTATCTCAGACCCACAACAAGCAGCTGACAGGAGACAGAGGACATAACCTGACTGAGGACTTCTGTGGTTCCTGCAGCCAAGAGTTTAATGAGATGTTAATGTGTTCAGCAGGGGGGGGGGCACCAGGGGGCCGCCATTAAACCATGGAGTCCAACCTGCAGCCTCACAGTTACACACCACACTACTGACTGATGGACACAGCTCCAGAGATAAACAGACAAAAATGATGAAACAGAACATAAAGGAACATTTAGACAAACATTAAAGTAGAGCCATAAAAGACATAAAAACAACAAGGACACATTAAGAGATGGAAAATGACAAGAATATAAGAAAACATAAAAACACAAGGAGGCATAAAGAAACACAAACCTAAAGAGGAATAAGGACAAATAAAAGGCAAGAAGGAAACAAACAAGAAGGACACATAAAAAGACAAGAAGGACACATAAAAAGACAAGGAGGACACATGAGACAAAGAGACTCCAATATAAAAGACTGAAGGAAGCTTAAATGATGGGAATGAATAAACTGCAGAAAATCTGACAGAGAACAGCTGTTCATCCATCCATCATCATCTATTCATCCATCCATCCATCCATCCATCCATCCATCCATCCATCATTTGTCCACACTGTTTGTCTGATTGGATTCACCACGTTGAGATGTACCAGTGGACTTTAACGCAGATGGAAAATTATTATTGTCTGCCTGACCAAAAACWTTTTCTCCGTTCCCAAACAACTGATTACAGATTCACCGATCTAATTTCTCCTGGTGTTTACGTCAACTTTTGGCTCCTCCCCCACCTCTCCCCCTCTCACTCTGTTTAATCTGATCCCCTGAAGGACAACCTGGAGCTGCACAGAATGAAAAATTYARCACCAATATTCTGAACTGAGTTTTTCTTTGGGRGGCTGGATTCTTCAGACTCATTCCCTCTAAACTCACTTACTCCTCTGGCTGATAAATGTGCTCTTGCTTGTTGAGTTTTTTTTATAAACACCATAGTGTGTCATATTCTGTTGAAATAATATGATGTTTTGTTTTGTTTTCCTCATCTAACCTTCTGTGGTTTTTAGTTTTTCTTGTTAAAGGTAGAGCGACCCCTGCTGGTTGCTGCATGACCTGATCACCTGTTCCTCCATGTTTGTCATGTGTGCCTCTTGAATGGGTATTCTTAAAAGTAATTTCATTGTGCTCTGTACAATGACAAAGGCATCAATCAATCAATCAATCAATCAATCAAACCAGCTGACATCCTTCTAACAGATCAGAGCTCAGTCTGGTAATGACAGGAGGATAAAAACCTGTCTCTGATGTCCTGTTAGAACCTTTAAACTGAACAGTTTGATGTAGACGTGATGATTTGAACTTAGRGCTGCTGATTGTCTCAGGTTTAGTTTCATGTGAACAGAAGAAGGTTTTAGTTTCAGCAGGTAGATGAGACCAGATCAACAATCACAGGATTATATCTTTAGATTAGATTACCCTCCCTCAGCCTCATCTCCCTCATCCCTCACTTTTATTCTCTTTTTTTTGTTCACCTTTTCTAATTTTCTCTGAGGCTGTGTAATCCCTGAGCTGCTTCTCTGCTCCACAAAACACCTGAAAGGCTCAGAGCTCAGAGCTCAGAGCTCATTCCAGTGGGCCGTCTGAAAAAGTCCACTGCAGCAGGATCACAAAGTGTCACCTCATCAGGTGTTAAACTCAACTAAAGACACAAATCTGCCAGAGTTTCACACACAGCACAAAGAAACAAAGAAGGTGATGTGTTTGTGTTGTTTGTTCTTAAAGCTCTCATCTTCTCACCTCCCTCTAACAGATGTAAAGTGAAACATCTCAAACAGTTAAATACAGATAATAAAGCTTTGCTGAACAGAAAMTAAACTAGATMYCACRKWGYGGTAACATGATGACCCCCGCAGCAATACCCCAGAACTCAGAGGTCTTTACTCCTGATAAATGTCAYGCTATAGGTGCATCCTAAAATTGTAACTGATGTGTTAAAAGGTCTCATTTGTCTTGAGGTCTCTGTATCCACATCCCTCAGAGCAGGAGTTAAAGGACTATAAGACCCAGATCTGTGTTTAATTAGTGGAATCTGTCTAAACGTTGGCTCTAACTTCATCAGGACCTCTAACAGAGCTCAGGAGGACTGATTCCAGGAACAATCATGCTTTAATGCATGATTAACAAAGAGGTTAAATAAGAATGTGTGAATGTAAATGAGTTGTTGGCAGTGAGAACAGAATTATGAGCTCATTTCAGAATCAGAATCAGMTTTATTGTCRTTCACACACAACATCAGAGATGCAGAACAAAACTGCAGTTAAGAACCCTCCGTTCAGGAGAAAGACACACATAACAAACGTGGGAAYGGATGATCAGGTCTTGTGCAACACGGTCACACAACCTTTTTGCAGTTTGGAAATAAACACAACGGGAGAAGTGAGTTAAAAAAGATGCTCTGATCCTATATTTAATTTTATTTAATAATCCTATTCTGTTATTTCATTGTGCTCTGTACAATGACAATAAACATCTAATCTAATCTATTTACTCACAAACACAGAATCATATGCACAGAAAACAACTCACAAGGCAGCTGGGGTGGGGGTGGGGCTTCAGACTCACCTATATCTGAGACTTTATGGTTCTTGATGAGCTCAGCAAGCTCAAAGTTTCCAGCAATAATGGCCACCTGCAGACAGCAACACRAACAGAGTGAGGAACAAAAGAGAAAAAAACAAAGAACGTGTCTTCAGGTGCAGCTCGTCACATTTGTTTAAAATAATTCTTGAAAAAAAGTTTAAAAGAATAAAGTTACTGGAAGGTTTTTTTAGGTTTGTTGTGTCCCGAACGAGCAGATTTCATTCATTTCATTGAGGCTGACTGAGTAAAAATAAACTACTTTATAAATGATTTATTCTTTAGTTGAATGATTTTYGTACAGAGCCCTGAGACGTTTGTTGGGACTTGGTGCTTTAAGAGTTAAATTCATGTTACTGATGTCCAGATACTGAAGCTGGTCCAGTTACAGCAGTTTTACAACAGCTCAGATGAATAACACTTTTTCAAATCGTCATCCAAACTATTCCATAATTTTACCCCATAAACTGAAATACACATTTGCTTTAAAGTAG